CCAGGGAGTGTAGTTAGAGGGACAAATGGCAATGCGCCAAACGTCCGATTTGATCAAGCTTGCCTATAGCCACAAAGCTGCGGTTCAAGTGGTCTAACTTCAGGTCCGGTTTCAACCTGAAATCTGCTGATATTAGCTCCGACATGGTGACATCCTCACATGGAAAGAAGACGGTATTGGAACATGTTGGCCTTCTTTGATCTTGTGTTGGAAAGATTAGAAGCATGGAACATCCTGCATAGGATCTACATCACGAAAGGTAGCCTGGTAAGGACTACCTTGAGTTTGCTTTGCGAAGCAAAGTGACTGGCTTGAGAGCCGGCTCGGGACTAAAGATTGGTAGATCAATGTCTAACACCCCCACCCCCCCCCCCTCCCATGTGATGATTCATTGATAAATCAATTGTTTTGCACCCCCCTCCCTCCCTCCCCTCCACTCCCCTCCCGTCCCCTCCCCTCGCCAGCACTACTAGCATGCTGGACGCACCATCACACCATAAGGTGAAGTCATGCGCTTAGCAGTCACAGCAGTACACCGCTGGCCATGAGGTTGCGCAATACAGCACGAACCCCGCACAATGAGGTTGCGCAAGGCGGCTTCGATGCTGCGCGTGCGCGCCCGGCAGCCTGACATAGCGCGCACTGCGTTCACAGACCATATTGCTCGACACCAACGAGCATCGATGCAACACAGCCTCTCTGCAAAGCCCTGTGGAGAAACCTCTCGCTTCGCGGAGCACCATTCGACTCAGCTTTATACCCTCGCGTGGCGACATCTTACCGCATCGTGGAGCACCACTACACAGCTATTTACGCACCCTTCCCATCAGCCACCCACCATAGCGTGACGCCCATCCCTGGCAGTACTGGCGGCTTCGACGCAACGCGTGCAGGCCTGTAATCCTGACACAGTGCGTGTAGCTGTGGGACCATAGCTGATTAACATGCGAGCGTTTACGCATGGCGACCTTGACGCGCGCCTGTTTTCACACACCTTTACACAAACGAGCGTCGACGCAACGCAGCCTCTGCAGAGCCGGGTGGCGCAATCTGATCGCAACGGTGTTCCTCTCTTGAGCCTTCTTGTGCTCTTTGGCTTTGTTGGTTTCATCCATGATTGACCAAGGGGAACGTTCCTGAAACACCGGAGACAGTCCGTCTCTACCTTTCGTGTTTCCCCGCTCAAGTAACATATGTATGATATTCTGTATGTCGTGTAAAAAAATATATATATATATATATTCTTTCCCAGTGTCCAGCAACCAGACATCCACAGACGTTGTGTCCATACACCGAGCAGCAACCAGGTTGGCTCTCTTGTAGTTCACTTTCCTTCTACCCGATACATTGCGGAATTCGATTGGGTCCGGGAGTCGACTTCTTTCCATTTGGCCTGGCGGAGGTGACGGAAGCTGCCCAGGTCAACCGAAAACAAGCAGACCCTCAACCCCCGACCCTGCACTTGTAGTGCGAACAGCAGTGAAAAAGAAGGAAAACGCACACAGAATGCCATAGAACCTTGGACCTTCGCCCGGGAACCTCGGGTTGAAGCTGGGCTTGGCCCGGTTCCCCACCCCCTCCCAACTCTCCGAGGCTTCAGCGCCGGGGCGGATCCTCCGGACGGCCCAGGCGCCCAAACGGTCGGCCCAGTCCCTCCCATCTCGGCCCCTCGGACGGCCGACTGACGACGTGAGTAGATCGACGGAGACAGGACGGTCGGGACGCCTCGGAAACCCCACGGTTGTTCGGAGAGTTGGGGTGTGATGTACGGACGTCCGCGCGAAGGAACCCGCACGTTACTGACTCTAAAACTCAACGAACCCGCACGTTACTGCGTATGAAAAGGTGTTGTTCAGTTCAAAGGTGGAGGGTTATCATATGTTATCATGAATCGATAGATGTTCAATAGATATCAAGAGTCTCTCATCACGTGTTATTTTTTGGGGGTTCGCTTTGACCAAACGATTCGACAAGAAAGGATCAATTTTTGTTTCCTGGTATAAGGAGATGTATGGAAAGGCAGCTGTGTGACTTTGGCACCTCAAAAAGAGAAAGGGATTGTTGAACGACAAGGACAGGATTCAAGACTGGCAAGAAGTGTGCGTTTGGTTGTTTCGCGGGTGGTTGATGAAAAGGTGTGAAAAGATCTGGCTGTGAGGGAGACCCCCGATCGCCCCTGGCTGGGTCGGGCTTGTCCTGGTCTATCTTCCTTCTTCCCGGGGATTGAAAGGAGGTCTCCCTAGTTTAATAATTACCCATCCATATTCTAACGTTCTGACGCAAAAAAGAACTGTGTCCCATGGCAATGTTGCTCCCTGTCTTGGTCGTGGATTCTACCTCGCTGGATCATGGGAGGTTCGCTGGGCGTTCGGACGCCTCGTGTTTCGCGGTTTTTCTCACTTTTTTGTAGGCGTTGGATCCTGAAGCCAGGGAAGCCCAGTGAGCAGATGGGAAGGCCATGTTTGCCGCGTTTGGTACCAAAGAATTAAGAATCTGACAGATCACCCGGGTTCTTTGGAGAATCGTTTTCCCACCTCTGGCAGTTCCTATATGTGTCGTCTAAAAGGATTACACTGCATAAAAAGGAGCAAATGTGATCTAATTAGTCTAGTTCGGTTTAGTTGGTTGATCCAGGGACATCTTGAGATGTGTTTCCTTGTTTTTGGGATGTGGCCTTGTTCAATCCTTTCAATCCTGGAGACAAGATCAGTTGGGGAAGCCACTGAGGGACATTATGATAAACCTTGAACACGCCAATTTGGCCCTGAAATTACTCAATAACGAATACACATGCTGCAAGAACATATCGGAATGGCAACAGATTGATCGCAGGTCCTGAATGACCATGCAAGAACATGTGAACCTCTTGTTACTGTATCCCGAGATCCCCAGTTGTTGACATTGGTAGCAACCAGCAAATTTACTGCTGGGCTTGTCAGCAAGAAAACAGCAGTTTGTCTCCCTTTCTTGAGCCATCATCAAGCCCTGTCAGGTCAACAGAGAACAGGCATGGATATGAGCATTCCAGGTTCCATCAGTACTTTAAGGAAATCATCATTCATGATGTCCACCCCAACTGAAAACCCATAGTAAGATATAGTCAGGATTTCCCATACCAACCCCACTATCAGCCAACTCCAAATCCTCCGAATCGGGCGCGGGTTCACCACCCTGTTTACATGCTTGGGGCAGTGTCCTGCAATGTCCTGCAGACCCAAAAACCAAAGTCCTGTGGACCTCACCTGATCCAGTCGTCACCCGAACCGGGTGCCCTATTCAATCACTCAGGTTCTGGCTGATACTCTTCATCGAGCTGCTCAAACGTGCCTGGGAGCTGGGGGCTCCTCTTTTGGAGTGTTTTTTTGGGTGGCAAAAGGGACGCATCACACCGGATGGATGACACCTGCCCCGTTCTTAAACACACCTAACAAGACGCTCCAAAAGATGCCCCTAAGAGGAAACCATCGGCTGGGTCTGGGTGGGTGTTGCATATGTTTTTTTGTTATGTATTTTGTTGCTCAACCTTTCCTTGGGATGATTGATCCATATTGATCTGACTCAGATTTTTTCAGTTGAAGCCACCATTTGGAGTGATTTTCTTTCAGCTTGCCGTGTTGGATCTTTGCGCCGTGCCGAATTCCCCTCACCTCGCCGGCACCCACGGATAGCACGGATGGATCAGCCTCGGTGCTACCCCCCCTCTCCGCCAGTCCGTCCAAGGTGCGAGCAGTATGACGACTGAAGATCCGATTGGGCTTGCCGATGGGCAAGTAGTGAAACTGTACCGGAGCGTCCATGATGGAGATCCCAAATCCGTTGTTCTGCCAAAGGCTTTCCAGAAGCAGAGCACAGTTTGTGTTCAACGTGTTTATGAGGTCAGTGGCATGATCTTATGATATACTGTATTGTAAGTAATGAAAGGACAGGTCTATAGTGTGTAGGCACCCTTTGTCGGTGCCCAATGGAGCTCCTGGATTCGTATCGAGGGTTTTTCTCGATCTGTCGCTTTCACCGTCTTTAAAGCCAGAAACCAAGGCCCGTTCCGGCTCCGAAGCGACTGGTAGATCACTTTGATTGGTGTGACGTCAGCTGTTCAGAACTCATCCTCCCACGCGCCGTGAAAAGAATCAAGAAGAGGGCTGATTGTTCAAGAGAACGGAGGGTGGGTGTCTCATGCCGGAGCCCTCGCAACCCATGGTTTCTCAAGATTTCTCAATTGTGGTGTAATCCACAAGCAGGCTTTAGACTGCTGGGAAGCTGAGCGCAGTCCCAGTCAGATAGTGGAACCTCTTCAAAGAAGCCAATCTCGCACTGACATCGAATGCATGAATGCAACATGAGGGTCTCTCAATGGCTGATCCCACAGAGTCATCGAATCACTGGTACACATGGTACACGTTTCGGAGATCTAAGAACGATTTGCCTTTGCATTTGTTTGCATTGCTATAGGGATTCCTGGGGGGTTGCTATCAACCCCATCTTCACCTCAACACCTGCGGTGTACGCAGCACTTGAAGCCACTCCTGCGTTTCCCCATGACGACGAAGCAGTGAAAAGGGCTCCGTCGGAAGGGACAAGGATTGGAAGCATCGATGGTATCGATTAGGTTGGTTTGTTTGGTTGGTTGGTAGAGCTGGTAGAGGGGATACCCCCAAGTGTGACCCCATTGGTACCAAATCGACACCTCATGACTCCTCGATTCTTCCAAAAAGGTCATTTTTGCTCAGAATTGTTCTTGGTTTTGTTGATCGATGTTGATCGCTGCAGGATTCTTGGGTCCGAAAACCTAGCGGTATTCGCGGTATTGGTCCTCCTGTTAGCGATCTTTGGACTTGTAAAAAACACATGGAAAAAACACGATGAACAACGCCTTTGTTTCCAGCACTATGGCACCTGGGGCACACGAAACCGAGAGCACCTGGGGTGTGGAGCGTATACGATAACAGCGCGCGCTCCAAGACGAAGTCCAAGACTCGTCCAATCATGGCGGCCGTCTTGAGGCGAGAGGGGTTCAAGATCATTTTCTTATTGCAGCTTGCTTGCATTTGATGAACAAGATGGGACAAATGAGGTGCAGGACACCCCCCCATGGTATTTTAACAGGGATCAAGCTGGGACTCATTGTTCTTCTTGGCATGTGGCAGCATGCCGATAGGTTTGTTCTCCCGAGACGCTGGTCCAGTTGCCGTTTGCCGAGACTGAGGAGTGGTCGAATCGGACGGTGCGGACGGTGGAAGACGACTTGTCGACATGTCCTGAAACAATCCCAGACACGACTAATGATACTAATGGGACTTCCATAGGACTGCCGATCAGTTGCTGGTGGTTTTTTTGGGGTCAATGGGAGCGGCAGTCCGAACTGGCAATCCCATGAGTCGTGTCTGGGAATGGCACAGTTTGCCTTTCAGTTGCTTCGTGTGGGCCAAGATTGGACCACAGGCCGCGGCCTATATCATGTAGATGTTCTTTGGTCCCTCCGGATACGGTCTGATATATCATGGTACCTGCATGTTCTTCATCTAAATTTGGGGGTGCCAAGTGTTTGGCCTAAATCCTCCCAACAAAAACACACAGGTGAGTCATTGGTCGTCTTCTACAAAAGGTAGATTGGAAGGTGCCCAGACCTACTGCGAACTCCAGCGCTCGCACCGCTGTCGATGTCCAGCCACCCCCCCTTCAGGCGCCTCTCCCCCTTGCTGCCTTTCGCGTTGTCGAACTACGTCCGGTGCCCCCAGCGTTGTCGCTGAGTGTGAGAGCCGTTGTTGAAAAAGAATTGTCGGACGACGCGGCCCTAAGGGGGCTTGAGCTTTCGCAAAGCTTGGTCCACGCGGGGTTCGAACGAGGGGTCCGAACGAGGTGTTTTCTGGTTGGAACAAATGTGTCGAGTGTTTAGCGTGATTTTTTTTAGAACCTGACATGCTGAAAGGCAACTTTGGTTGGATCGGTTTTCAGGTCGCATGTGCCCAAAGGTCCACTTTTTTTTGTTGTTGACAACGTCAGGTCCGTGAAGTCAAGGTACGTCTTGGTGGAACCTATTTAGTCGAACTCAAACAAGCTCAACAGGTACGGTTTAAAAAACAACTTGTAAAAAGCAAACACAAAAAACATGTACTGGCCCGATGTTGATCAGATCCATTCCTATTGTTGGTTGCTCATCCGGGACGAATTCTAGTGCTTTCCTGGCTTTTGGTGTGGCGCAGAAGATGTACCGCAACGTGACCTATGAAAACCAGAACAGAACTTTGGAAGGTCATGACCTCTTTGCTCCGTTCGTAGCGTCATCTTGCAAACTAGTCGGTACGGCCAGGAGCCTGCAAGCCCCCCTCACAATTCGGACATAGCGTTCAAGTGGCTCAATTCGTCTACAGGTGGTGCAGGAGTTCTGCTTGAAGACCCTTTGATGAAGGATTGCTAGATATTGCTAGAGTGAAGACCATGGAACCAAGAGAACACCAAGCGGAATGAAAGCTGGCAGGGTACCCAATGCGGTGACTGCCGGGCCTGGTGAAAAATTGGCATATGGTGTGGAATACAGTAAATTGCTGGTTCTACTTGTAATTCTTGAGATCATTGACCACCAAACACTCAATTTTGCAGAGCAGAAGAGAGACTGTCCATACTCAGCTTTCAAGGAATTTGGAATCAAAGAGTTCTCCACCTGTCTTTAGTGACACGTGCTGGTTCCATCAAAAGACTCCACCACGCAAAAGCCCCGAATGCAAGTTCCAGGCTTTGATGTATTGTTTCTTCGCAAAGTCGATGCAACATCTGCCCACGGTTGTTTGTTTCTTGGTTGGTCGGTTGGCTGGCTGGTTGGTTTATTGGTTTGGACTCCACTGCGCACTCCTGATCCTGACTGCAAACACCACTGTTGGCTCAAGGCCACTGAGAAAATATCATAGCTGCTGAGTCCAACTTTGTCAACTGACCACTGTAGGTTGCACAGGTGAATGTCCCACTAGCTTCGCAGAGCTCTGAATTCTGCTGCAACTGTACAGAAATAGAACTGAAGCAACGGCTCGACTGGGAGGCTCGGGTGCACTTGACAGCGGTGCCACACGCCGGCCTAGGGTTCCAATGCCTAAGAGTACATGTACGAAGCCCTGGATCCTGGGGGTCTTCAAGAGGAAGTGAGGCCAAAAGCGTAAGGTCGAAAACGACGAACAGGGCGAGATGACGACGTTGCGTGCGTGACTGCAGAAGCTAACTCGGCAAATGTTAAAATTCAGCAGGTACGTGCAGCTGATCAGGCTGCATATCCTGAGGTCACCATAGAGAGCTTCGTTGGGCACAGCTCTATGGGCCTCCTGTGCCCCCCTGCTCAAAACTACAATTCCAAAGAATCCCTGTGACTACAAGGGGCACACACACACGCCTCCCCAAAGGGAGGCAAGTTTTCTAAGCGCCACACCGGGAAGGTTGGATGAAACTAATGACAAATGATAAATCGAGGTGTACTACTGTTAGCGGGTGTATTTCGTCTCCAAGCATGTCAAGAATTCCAATCAACGAGGCAACGAGGTGTACTTCGTCTCCAAGTAGAGGTAAGGCCAGGAACCTCTAGTAGCGTCAAAGAAACACCTAGCACCTAGTAGGAAGGCCAGGAGCCCCTAGTGGCATCCCAAGCTAGGGTCCCGACAGGAGGGAGGGGTAGGGAGAGACGAGAAAAAGGAAGGAGAAGAAAGGAAGGTGTTCCCAGCTACGACGCATGCGTCCAAGGACACACCAAAGAAAGAGAGGAGAAGGGTTCCCAGCTATGACATTTAAGGAGGAAGGAAGGTGAAGAGAGGAAAGAAAGAAAGCAAGAGAGAGGAAGAGAAAGGGAGAGGAGAGAAAAGTAAAAAGCAGGTGTTCCCAGCTACGAACAATCGTCCAGGGACACACCAAAGAAAGAAAGGGGTGAGCCTGAGTCTTCCATTCAGGAAAACCTCAAAAAGCAAGGAAAGAAAGGGGAGGGAAGGGGAAGGAGGGGGGACTAAGCTCGCGACAGGTTCCAATGAACCTTGAACAAACTTCGGTCGCTGTGACCACGTACGGCTTGCCCGAAGGCTGCCACCTTTGACCGCTGCGGTCACGTAAAGGCATGAGCCAGCTTGGAATTCCAAAAATGAGACAAACATCCCAATTTTGTGGCGTAAGCCATCTGCTGTCCGCTACGGACACTTACATCTCCGGGCAGGGGACAAACTCCCGTTCGACGGGTCTACGGGAGGCACTCTACGGGCTCATCCCGGGTTGGCACGAGGCCAAACACACTCATGGAAATGCGTACTGCCTTGACAGCGGTGCCACACGCCGGCCTAGGGTTCCAATGCCTAAGAGTACATGTACGAAGCCCTGGATCCTGGGGGTCTTCAAGAGGAAGTGAGGCCAAAAGCGTAAGGTCGAAAACGACGAACAGGGCGAGATGACGACGTTGCGTGCGTGACTGCAGAAGCTAACTCGGCAAATGTTAAAATTCAGCAGGTACATGCAGCTGATCAGGCTGCATATCCTGAGGTCACCATAGAGAGCTTCGTTGGGCACAGCTCTATGGGCCTCCTGTGCCCTGCTCAAAACTACAATTCCAAAGAATCCCTGTGACTACAAGGGGCACACACACATCAGATCTGTTCCCAGAATAAATGTCTGCATGGCTCATACAAAACCTGGCAGGTTGTACTTTTCTTGCAACTGTTGCCGCAGTAGACCTCAGGGCGGGTTGCCACTGATCCTTGAAACGGGACTGTGCAGAACCATATCATCACACTGGTTCCTACCATGACGCACTGAGCAAGTACCATGGCTGTCGCAGCCACGTGAACACAGGATTTGACTCTGGAACTGCTGCTCACTGCTGTCCCGTCCTGCTGATTATGCGGCGGATTGACGGTTGACGGCTGGTGCCTGAAGGTAAGAACTTGACTGGGAAACCTTGGCTATCATGGGAAAGAAGCTGATGAAGTACTGATTACTATGTTTTCCACGTTCCTTGTGCTTGGTTTCTGTTGCCAGGGTGCTTTTCCAAGGCTTCTGGACTGCTTTGGGTAAAGACTGCGTGAAACGGTTGACGCCTGAAGAGGAAACTGCGAGCACTACTACTGAGATGTCGACATTGGAAGACGCAATGCGCAACCAGCCAACTGACCTGCTGACTGTGCACATGGACGCTCAGCGACTGCTGGCTACTGCCAATGAAGTCCCGGATTACACGCTGACTACAGTTGCTCCTAAGCTGATGGATTGCGCACGCAACACCAAGTGCAACTTATCTGGTTGTACTGTCACTGCCAAGGGCTCATCGCGCTGCCACACACTGGGAATTATGTCACTGCCCCGGAACTGTTGCCTGGAGTGAGAGTAAGGGCCCTGCAGCACTGTGACTGCCATTGCGATCACTATAGGAACTGTACCCATTGTTGCTCAAGTGCGTGCTGCTGTGCAATGAGCCAAGTGGAATCTGGTGTGATGTTCACTGTGCCACTGAGCATCGCCAACTGCGCGCTGAGAGCTCCATGTACTGGACTGGATCCATTGCAGTGGCTATGCCCAAATACGCCACAGGTTGCTGACGTTCGACCGTCATTGGCTGGATCACTGCTGCTCCACTGATTCAGCGCAAGAGGACTTCGTCCTCACTGCAGCTGAATTGGCCGCAGGGATTGCCATTCAAGTGAGCTTCTCATTGCTATGCAGTCAACTGGCAGCTGAATGGCACGGCGCCCTTTGGCCTTCAACGTCAAGGTCTTATTTGGGTCACTTGGTGATGTCATTGTCCATCTTGAAGGAGGATGGTCTTCCACTCCGCCATTCCCAACGTCTATGACACTGACGAACAGCCCCTGGTCACGTCACTGTGACTGGAACCCGCTCGGCCAAGATGTACAAGGTCACGGTCGATGGAACACCATGTGATGGGGTCACGGTGAAAATGGAACTGTCTGAGGACTGAGAGCTGCACTCTGAGCTGCAAGTTGTGCAGTTAACTGAAGGGAAGGGACTGGTATAGTGACACCCTGACTGGTTTAAAAAATCCTATATCAAGTCACATACCGCACTCATGACTGATCCTGACTGCAGACACCCTTGTTGACTCAAGGGGCGGCGCCTCGTTTTTGCACGCGTTTGATCATTCGTTTTTGCACGCGGTCGATTTAGTCGTTTTTGCACGCGATGTGTGATCCGCAGCCTGGTCCCTCTAAGATGAAGACGTTGCAATTTACCTTTGAAATCACATGAACATAATCTTATGTATACCGACACAGCGGAAGTTAGGATGCCGTTTTGGAAAATCGCTAGGCCTTTTTTGGCACCCGTCACCCGGTTTTGTGGCATTCTAAGTGTAGCTACCCGGCGCGCCGAGGTTGGGGGAGCCGGGCATATACACTTAGAATGGGTCCCCGGGGACGCACCTGTTGAAAAAGACACCACAGGAACAGTAAATGACGCCTTCACATATTGAGAGATGGAATGCTGTGCGTGTTGGGCATCTGCATTTAGATCGGCCTCCAGCAGCCACACGGCTCATTGTGTTGGGCAGCCCTTCTAAGATGACACATTCCATGTCAACTAGCCAAAACTTTCGGAAAGTTTTCCGGCATTCTAACTTCCACTGCGTCGGTATATATATATATATAAGTATATATTACTATGTTTCATGTATGTATTTGTTGAATATGTGAGTTATATATATATATAATAATATGTATATATATATATATATCTGTCCAATCTCGTGCAACTTTTTCTCAAAACCTCAAAACAGCTGTAACGTGTTTCAAGTGTTCAGCTGCTGCTGCTGCTGCTGCTGCTGTGGGGTGTTGCTGGTGCCGCTGAGTGCGCTGCTGCTGCCCACAAATGCTATTTTGCTATCTGGGGTCGATCTGCTAGCATAACTCACCTGCGCAACGGGCAGTGGTCAGTTGACGTGCAGTAGCTACTTTCTTTTCTCGGTGGCCTTGGGTACCCCTCATATCCGCACACGGATCGAACTCATATTCCCACACAACCCCCCTAAAATCTACGTAACTCACATTATCTGACTCATCTTTACACATACACACGTTTTCTAGCTCAATCTTTACACACACACACGTTTTGATTGCCCTTCAAAGCACACTTCTGCCATGCAAACGGGCCAGGGTTCACCGGTGGAAGTTTGCGTTCGCGCTTGGCAGGCGCGGCCAAGGAAGAAAGCGGCGACGCCCAAGGCAAGATTAGGGTGATCCAAGTATCTATAATCTAAATCAAAACGAAATACGTTACAGTACCTCTTCAAGAATGTCACTGCAAGCTTGTCATGTGTAGACAAAGAAGAGCAAGTCCAAAACGGCTACACCCTTAGTTGCGCAGACATAGCACGTGTCGACAATCCTCAAGCCTCATCCGAGGCCATCCGCAGACCTATCATCGTTGGGGGCTTGTTTTGCGCTGCGCCAAGCTGTTGGATTGAGTTTGCTTCAGCTTTGACTTGGTCAGGTACCTCATGCTTCTTCGCGGTCTGTGAGGGCCTGTACAGTGACTGTTGAGAAATTGGTTTTGTTTTTTGGCACAGCAACTTGAACAATCCGTCCTCTAGCTAGCCAAGGTATTCTCCGCACGCGTCGACTTCAGCGTGCCTCCGGCCAGCCACTCAGTCGGACTTGTATGGAGAGTGTTTTGTTCATAGTCATAGCCCTTCTAGGCCCGATTATATAAATCACAGATCAAGAATGACCAGTTGCTTCAAGGTCCCGGAAAGGCCGCAATTGCCGACGAAGGCATGCCCGGTTTCTGTTTCTGAGTGAAAGTGAAAGGCGAGCGTTTTCTGATTCCATTAAACGTCTCATATGGTCGTTTGTGATGATGGTTGCAATGTCCGCAGACTGCCGCTCTGCCACGCACTGTCGCAACCTGGGCTTGCCTGTTTCGATTTCAGCTCCGACACATTGAACTAAAACACTGCCTTGGCGTTTTCAGGCGCAGGACACCGCGTTCATGCGGAAGCATGCGCGGCAGGGCCTTGTCCAGCGCTCCGCGGTGTGTCCGCCCTCGCAGCGGACAAACCTCGCTTGGGGGAAACGCTTTCAGGCAGGGATAGACCCCAGAGATTGAGACTTGGTGTCTTTCGTGGTCATTCCTTTTCAGGCTGGCGCCACTTCAGTGCTCAGCAAGAAGGCGCGCCACGGCTCACGCGGAAGTGTTTAGAGTCTTAATTTATTGGGAGGGTGCCAACTGCACAACAACATTAGTCTAGATCCCGCAGCTGTGCCTTCCCGAGTTCCGTGGCTAGTGCGTTGAAATCGGCCTGCCCGTTTTCTTATTGCAGTTGCCCCATGCATTTGCGAGGACAGCGCGGACGATTCCCAGCCGGAGTCGGACGGCGATAGCACAACTTGCCCTTCATCGCAGTCGGAGAGCGCTTTGCCAAAATTGATCCAAAAAGATGGACAGGTGCCCTCTGACAGCGAGCTGGAGTTGGAATCAGATCACTCGCAGAGGACATTTCGGTCTTTCCGTTGCTTCTTTCCTCGCCTGCAAACTGAAGACCCCAGCTTGTCGGATTGAGCCTAGCGCGCGCTGCATACAAAAAAGATTGCCTCTAGCCACTTGAGACCAAAACGCAATAAACGTGTTTGTTGTTGACATATCTCCCATGGCCCATGATTTGCAACCTTTTTTTTCGCAGCTTCGGCTTGAGACAAGTGACTCGACAACACTGCACGCCGACGGCGCGCACCACACACACCCACACACTCTCACGTGCACATGCCCATGAAGGCACACAATCACGTCCACACACATTTTCCGTTTCTGTAATTCTTCTGTCGCGTTTCTCATCATGGCCGGCGTCACCGAGGCCGCTATTGTGCACCCGCGGATGAAAGACGTTTTTGAAATTGTTGACTGCGCCGCTTCCATGGTTTCGTTCTTCGCGGTCGCCGAATTCTCGGGGGCGATCTGTTTCAGGAGCACACCTTCACCGGCGTGTTTTTGGTTGGCCACCCCGCACCAACCTGAGCGTGGCGTGGGCCTCATCTGGGTTCGATCTCCGGCCTTCGTCGCCGTAGGTTTGGTGTCTGCACACCTGGTGGGAACAGCAAGCAGCGGCTCTTGACGAAGAGGCGCGAAGTGACATGAGCGTTCCCCATGGAATCGAGTTAAAGTGTTGTTTGACTTTGCTTGCGTTCGACGTGGCGCGGGCGCTCCAGGAGGCTGTTCTGCACAAGGACAGGCCGTGTCGTTGTTGCGCGCGTCTTCGATGGCGGCGTGTTTTCTAAATTGAACGTCGTGACTGCTCGATTCCGCAATCGTGCAGGCGAAGCCATTTGAAAATGCTTCGCCAGACGCGGCCTCAGATTTCACGGTGCCACGATAGAATCACGTCGTTTGGTTTCTTTGAAATCAGAATTTGGAACTGGCAGGCGACCGAGAACGACTCTCCGGCTCGCGTCTCAGCTGCTTCCTGGACGCTCGATAAAGTTATATGACTAAGCGCTAGTTTCTAAGGCCGAGCTTACAGAGGAGGACTTAAGGCCGATATCGGGTTCCACGCTCCAAAGAAATTTGCTTGAAGCATGTGCCCGCAGGAGTTGGACTGGCTGCAGAGCGGCGTACAGGCATTCGCGGGAAACGTTGCTTTGAAAGGCTGTTTTGCAAGCTTCATTGAGTGTGTCAGCAATTCGCACCCGCTCCAGGTTCCAAACTCCGGAGGTAACCTAAAGCCAAAAAAGAAGAAAGTGTGGAGATCCGTGGAATTCTTAGTGATTTGTCGGTTTGCCGCAATCTGTCAAAGCTTGTCGGGCAGTTCACGTTTATCGCTATAAGGTCTATCCGCAGACAGCCCACTTTCGCTTCTACGAGGCATCACCAGCACCCACGCACCAAACCGCGCACGGCCAAGGACATCTGGCAGCAACGCCCTGTGGCACCAGCACCCATGCTCCAAAGGGCACACGGCCGTCGAAAACTCGGAGCAGCACCCTGGAGCGGCGCCAGCACTCAAGCTCCAACGCGCCTGCACAAGCACCTCTTCCTATCTTCCTATACTTGAAGTACGAACCCCAAAAGCCAATATTTTCGCAGTTTGTTATTTATTTTGTATTTTTTTTTCGCTGGCTTGGTTGGGTTTGGTTGGTTGGTTGGTTGGCTTGCATTTTTGCGGAGCATTCGAGGTCTATGGTTTGAGCCAATGTAGCTTCCAAGACTTCCTCCTGGCCACTGGCTTGGGCTTTGCGCCAGGCACGGCACGGACAGACCACCGTTTCTTGCCACATGCCACGATCTGTACAAACGGTATGAGTCCAGGTATGTCAAGAACCAAAGAAGATAAAGAAGCAAACATGTGGTGAAGAATTGTGTTTGTGTGTGTGTTTATCTTTGTTTTATTACGAGAACCAGCTGATAGGCTAGCTGTGGGGAAGGCGTGGCGTTGGAGTATTTGTTTGACAGAGCCTGCTGGTGTTACATGGTGTTACTGGTTGTTTTTGTAATTTTTGGTAAGTTCGCAAAAATATGCAATATGAACCCGTGCCGGCATCACTTGCATCATAAGTCTGTTGGGGCGCCTCGTTTCAGGAAAGAGGTTGATATGAAGTCGAAGTTGGACTCCGAAGTTTCCAATAGCGTGCGGGGTGCGGGTCCAACGATAATTTTCACTGGTTTTGGTTGCCCCTTTTCAGGTATTCAAGATATAGTAACATAATATGTAATAATATGTATATGTTACTATCATCGTCGTGCATGAAGTAGGATTGTGGATTTGCAAACATTGTACTTGTGCATGATCGTTGAATCGGCAAGATGGGATGAGAGTGGTGTGACAGCTCCCCAATCGTAATGGAGCGCGGGTTCAAACCAATCGCATTGGAAATCCAATGATTGTCGCTATTTTTGTTTGGGAACGTTGGGACCCTCTGCGAACAGACTGCACAATGCGAAGAACCATGGAATGGGGTGTCCTTACGGTGTCCTCTTCATCCTGGTGGTCGCTGGAATTGGTCCTTGAAATTGGAGAGTGAGACTTTGCGGGACTACGAGAGGAGCAGCAAAGAAGCGCCAAACCATGTGTTTGAAAAGATGTGGGTTGTGAAGGGACTTGGATTAGAAACTTCATTTGTCAGTCTTGAATACGGTCTGAAACCCATGGTCAGCAATTGTTAGGACTATGAGGGAGCAGGACATCAAGCACGTTCTCTCTCGTAGGTTTGTCCGTCTCGGGAACCAGGTGCAATCGTTTTCTGCGACATGGTGGTTGAGTGAACCTTGTGTTCGCCTTTTCTTTGCGAACACAGTCAGGCTGATAGGCTGGTATGGATTGATACATACGTCAAATAGAACTCCCAGTGCCACGAGGCGGGACCTCCTTGATTCGCAGTCTTGTTGATTCCGCAGGGTTGCCGCAACATCTGCGACGGTAGGTTCTGGGTTCTGGGTTCTCGGTTTGGTCCCATAATACTCAAAATGAACGATCGCAGGGCGCCATTCAACCCATTTCACTCATTGCCATAGTCCAGACCAAAAAATGTTGGTATCTTGGGTGCAATTCTGATTAATTATAGTTACCAAGGTCGGCTTGAGACAGGCTTGGATACCTACAGGATGCCCTTCTTCGTTTTACCAGGTTTGGGTGTGCAGTGGAAGTTGGATTTCTTGGAATCTTCACAGCTTTGCCATCCCCCAAAATGTGTCTCAAACAAGCTGCTCCGATCTACAGACGCCGCGCTGTCCCACGTCTAGAGGTAAACCTACCACAGCTGCGTGGTTGACACGCGTGGCCAGGCACAATTGGCCTGGTTTATGCGGCCACAGCTGCGCGCGATGTGATGTCAGAGGGTGGAAGCCAACCTTGGTATGTGGGGATCCTAAGGGGACGCAAGGAGACAAAGGAAGAAGGACTAAGTGGCCGGAAGGAACTGGATGGGACGCTTATTTCATTCCCAGACCATCCATGTATGCAATATAGTTACTTAAGGCTCATAAATGGGGTAAACGATGAATGTATGTAACTGCTCCAGTCCCATGGATGGTTTGGGGTTGGACAAGTCTTCATATTGTTTGCACATGTTGCCTCTAGATCCAAGGTGAGATGAGCCATTTGGTCGCAAGGCTTGCATGTGTAGCGATTCTGTGTGGGTGAAATAGAACACAACCCTGAGAGTCAGCATAGAATGCAAAAGCCATAGGTTCTCCATCTAGTTTTTCAGCGCCGGCATGTACAGGATGTATGAGCTTCGTTTTTTTCCTGGGTGGTTGTTGATACTGAGCATCCACTGCTAAAGCGGAAAGAAGCATACAAAAACGGAACTCATATACGTGGAAGAAGGCCCCTCAGCTTTTTTGAGTGTTAAGGGGTCCACTTGCTGCCCTCTGGAGGCGGATGTCAGGAGAGAAGAGACCAGCAAAGCATTGACTCATTTTGCGAAGAAGAGTATGTCAGCATGGGTTTTTTCTTCTCAAGGCCATGATGTTCCAAGGCCATGATGGCACTACCTGGACCTTCCAGCGGGTCTCCAATTGCCTGCCCTACTTCCGACACCTCTGGCACGGATGGTCCTGGTGTGTACACTCCTTGAAATCATCGAAACAGAAAAGCACGTATTTGTAGATGCAAATGGTCATCCAAGGGGCCATGTTGGAAGTGTAGCTCTCATTTCAGCATCCATCCTCCGACAGGTCTATGCTTTGGGGCTCCTGGTGACAGCCACAGACTTAGTCGGGTCTCAGGTGTGCTGTGAGGATGCTTCTACCACTCTTGGATGGAGAACCGAGCCTCCCAATAGATCAAAACAAGTTCCGGCACAAATGATAATTCACGTGTCTATCTCTCTTGAAGTTAGTTCTTATAGAAAGCCACGTTCACTCCTGCAGCAACTATGCCTACACATCAGAGGTGTCATCCATCAGGGAAGATTCGGAAGAAGGAGTTGTTCAGAGTGTGCTTTGCCAGATTGGACAGAAATGGTGATATGGCTGTGGGTCAATCAAAACGCCCAACGAGGTTGACCTGGCTGGTAATCCCAGCGTGGATTGTTTGTCACCAGATATCCTTTGATTGACGTTCGATCCTGTGCTGACTTAGTCCGACTAGCATCTGAGCAAAATCAACGCATTGTTTGATCAGTACGATTCTCCGCCAGCATCCATCGCTGACGGAATCTTTCACCAAGTCCCCCAAGTCGGATCATGAACCACATGTCTTGGCGCCTTTCTGAAAGGGATCCAAGATGATCCAAGTTCATATTACGTATGCAAATAGTCATCTTATGTAGGTAGAATTCAGAGCGTGTCATTTTTGCACGTTGCTTTGCTGTCCTTGGGGCCCGCAAGCTACAGGGAAACACGAGCAGTGAGTTTAAATTCAATCGATGACGTTCAAGGCAAACAACGAGCGCGGACAGACGGCCTATCAGAAGATGTCAAGATTCATAGAAATGTTTGGGTGTCAATAATTCTATTTGCTGGTTCGTGTGACCTATATGTAAATGTTCTTGTCTATATGATACATTACTTCCAAAGAACAAGACACCCCTTTTCGTAGGAAAAGGGGCAAGACTGTTTGGAACATGTGCCTTTGGAAGACGGAGCCCAATCTAAACAGAGTCTCCCAATCCGATCTCTGTGATGAGTGTACCTGTTGCCGCTTTCGATCAGTAAGGACCGCCATCTAAGGCGGTCCTTTTGAAGATCGTCTCAGATGTGGCCTCCAAAGCAGTTCAGGAGGCTGTGGAAGAGGCGGGGTTGCTGAAGCCGTCGGTGGCCTTAGTGGACCGCCGTCGATGCTGAGAAGTTTAAACTGGATTCCCACGGTCTCTCGGCTTTTCCAATGAGTCTTTGCAGCAGATCCACTCCCGGAACAATCCCAGATAATTACAGGGATTTGTTGGAACCATCAAACCCGGAATCTGCAAATCTCTTGCAGAATCCAACTGTAGGAAGTCATGGTTTTTGTTGCTTTGTCCTTTGTTGCAGAAACGCTAAGCTAATGCATGCTAATGCTCGATGTTTTCTTTGATGCAGTTTAAACTTAACGTATCATACAAATAATTAGGCAAGTGTGTTTCAGATGGCCCTTCAGTATTTTGGAGATAGACGCAAATTGGATTGCAACTGGTGAACAGTGGGAAGGCAAAAGCGAGCGCTTTCTATACGACATCTTAGAAACTTGGGTATACAGTGTGGGCTGTAGGAAGGATGTAGCAAAGATGCATGATCGTTTTCACATGTGATTCGATCAACAGGACGTCCTTATCTGCATGTTTACAGAAGTGAGGGAGGGCGGCGCGTTCACTAGCTTCCGGCTAGCTAGACCCCCAACCGGTGCCATCCCGGTCCGGTCCTTGACGCCAGGATCGTGATCCACTGACCGACCCGTTCACCTTGGCTCCAACTGGAGGCGAGTCGGGATGAGCTCCGGAAGGTCCAACGGAAAAACGCTCCGCGTGGCGACAGGTGTCGAGATTGGCTCAGTTGAAGAGATCGTTGATATATCCGGGCCATGGACCCGCTAAACGATGTCGAAATCTACGGTTTCAGAGGTTCGATGACAATTAGACTCTAAGATGACTTAGACAGATGCTGGTCCATGTAAACTACAAAAATGTGGGGTCGTGGTATTTTCTGAAAAGATTGTACTAAACTTTGGTGTTACATCGCACCGATCATGCGATGTTTCCCCAGAAGAAGTACCGTCGGGCAAGGTTTGCTTGCGTTGAGCACGAGGATGTCCTGTTCTATATTCACTATAAAGCTGCATAAAGTAAGAGATTATATACCTAGAGACTCCAAATGCACCTCTATATGATATCCTACTAGGTATAGCTGCAATACGATTTACACCAGTTTTTGCCCACCTCCTGGGCCAGGGCTTCGCATCCGCCGGGGATCGCCTCGCGGAACGGCAGAAGGTAGGTAGGTAGTATATAGGCATGTTTTCAGAGTCTGAACAGTGAAATGGTGAGTCCCAACTTTGACAACACTCAAGTTAGGTAAAGTGGTCAAAGTTAGACAACACTTTAGACTTTGACAACTTTAAGTTTCAAACGGTCAAGTCCGGATCTTTCAACTTGAAGCTCTGTGACTGGAGCTGACTGCCAGCTGGAGCTCAGCATGTTTCACATGCCTACCACAAACGAGCACCTGTTTCTCCTGTTTTCTGCACGGCCGATCACCCGGTCGACCAGGTCTTGGATCCCAAGTGGAGATCCAGAGTGAGGTGAAAGTGGAGAGCCGCTTGGAGAACGAGTGGAGTGCTGAATGGCTGGGATCACGGCTGGTACTGATGGCTAACATGGAATGTTCTGGATGTCTGGTGGTGGAAAGGCGTCAAGCGGCGATCTTAGTTGCCATCGTGATCCACGAAGTGCTTTCCAGCATGTTCCATCCATGATGACAGCAAGTACCTCTTTTGTTTTGGACACTCCTGAACTTTGTTTACATGGGCTAAACTAGTTTGAGCATGTTTGGCAGAACCCAAACAGGCCCATTCACTGCAAGGGTTCTGCATAGTTTGAGCACAGTTTGAGCATTCCCTCTCACAACTCTGGCCCCTTTTTCAGGCCGCGAGAAGGTGAATGCTTGAATTTGTCAAGGCGCGAGTTCTGGCGCGATCGTATCCGAACTAGGGTTGCCAGTGCCATTTCCCTGGAGAACACTGGATCACTGAACCATCCGAAGGTTTCGTACATCGAACTGTGACGTCTTTTCGAAAATGGAATCGAAGTCATGTCGCGCACAACACCAGACCGCTGGACACGGTGCCATTTTTTCTCCAAAAGAGCAAGTTGCCGTGGACAACACTCTTCGGCGACGCGATGCGAACGCCGCCCCAACCTACGGCCTCTCGGGGTTTCAGACATCGCGCCCATGTCGACCTGTCCGCGAAACGATGCACCGGCAGGTGGGAGCGAACGGTCACCCGATCCCAGAACTGGAGTGAAGATGCTGGAGCGAACGCTCGGGGGTGGGATGAACGCAAAAGCGGGCAGGCTGGGATGCTGGAGAAATTGGAGATGAGCGAGTTCCTTTCTACTAAACGTCCAACTTGTGACAGAAGAACTCGTGAGTGACTTAGGAGTCCGCCAGTCCCGGCTCTGACCGCCGTGCATGGGTTTGTTTCTCCCTCATTCAGTCCCATACCGGACACCTCAGCACAGACGATCTTTTTCAGAGCTAAATTTAACCTTTCTCGCTTCGCGAGCCGATCCCGGCGATGTTCCCGCGCGATTAGAGGTATTAGACAGAGTCAGAAGGTAAGACAGCTCACTGCGAATTGAAGCGCCATGTTCCCGCCATGTCATGTCAGTGCCCCATTGTGGGCAGATCGAATCTTCCATCCGATCGGATCGCGCGAGAAAGACAGAGCTCTCACACGTAGCGGCTCATCCCAGGTGCCGAAGGAGGAGCTTGGACTGGCAGAATACATTTTTAGAAGTCATGTGGATAGGCATCATACCAATATTCTGACAAATTGTGAATGTGTCTTTTGCATTGTCACAGGAAGAGGGCAGTCAAAGGAGGTCCAATCTTGAAACGGCAAGAAAAAAAAACAACAAATGCTTGTTGCATCTTTTTGCAGTCAATGTATGTTTGCCCGCGGTGTTGATTTTGTCGATACAACTTCAATCAGTCAATACGCCATTTCTATGCAGGATGAACATCGTCCTTGTGGGAAGGGTCCATTGATCCCATTATCAGGATCGAAAATTGTTATATCAAGAACACAATCAGGGATCAACATATTGAGGCAAGCACGGAAGAAAGGAATGACCTTTGTTTTTGTGCGTGGTTGGTTTCGTTGGCTGATGGGGGGAACTTCCTGTCTTTCCGTTAGTAGCCGGTTCTGCATGCTGCTCTCTTTCAACCCTGCTTATTTGAGTAGTTTTTTCTTGGAGCTCACCAATTGATCATTGATTTCTTAGGGAGAATCTGTGTGGATCCTGAAAAGAACACCTTTTTGATCCTCTTGCCGATCCGTTGGGATTGGAAACGTCCGGTCTCCACTCGTTGGGACCTGAGCCGCGAACAGCAAAGGGGACGCGTGGTGGAGCCCCTCGAAGCAGTGCGTTGGGTGGCCCTCGTTTGAAGCGAGCTCACCGCGTGGATTTTTGTAGAAGGTTTTTGCACCCTGTTTGCATATCAGGTTTGCTTGGCCGGGTCAGGAGTGGATCAAGGGAGAAGGCATTGAGAAGCCATTTTCGAAGTGAAATGAACGGAT